AAGCAAAAGGCTGGTGAAAAAGGGGTCAAAAATTGAGCTCTATTAAACTACTATTTCAGTTTAAAAGCTCATTTCATAGGTGGACTATTTCCTTTAATGTTTACAGCCCCTGAACAATAACCATTGCAAAGGTCACCGGGGTCGATTGAAACGGCCTGTGGCCCTGTTTCAACTGACCCTCAGAGAAGCGTTTCAATTGACCCCATCCGCTCCCGCCATCTCGCACGCGCCGTAAAGCACATGTCAAACGAGCTGGAGGGACGGCATCATGCTGAATGAAGGGCCAAATAAGGTGTTATTCCGGAGCCAGGAGTTCTTCTTTCAGCAAACAAAGCTATATGAGATATCACAAAATATTCATAAAAACGATTTCTCCCAAACGCCCCTCAAAAACACAAAAACAAGTGTCAAATCAAAATTACCGTCCGTTTGCCGCCCAAACGCCGTTGACAAAGGAAGTGGTCGAGCGCGGATGCGCAGTGGTGTCGGCAACGCCATATGTTGCATACTGTTGAAAATAAAGCCATGTTTCATCTGACCCCGTGTTTCAACTGGCCCCGCTCTCCCCTAGATATTAAACGACGTATGGGAAATATCTTTCCCATACATACAACATTGCACGTTTAAATCGAGAAAGCCAGGCATTAAAATGGCACGTGCATTATACTGCACTTTTGAAACATACAAGAAGTCAATGCTGATTGGTTTCCGAGTAGGCGCGGGAGCCGGGGGGGGGGCAGTGGGGGCAGCTTGCCCCCCCCAACTCTGGGGCCGTGGGGGCGGTGCCCCCACAGCTTTGAGACGGAATACCACACTTTTTTTGCAAATGTTTTCTTTTTTTGCTGAAAAAGCCGAGGGGTGAAAAATAAGTGGCCTAAAACCGGTCAGAAAACTAGATTTGGGGGTACCCTAGGTTAATCTCTATTATGGTGTGCCCCCCCCCCCCCCCAGTCGGAAAGTAGTTCCCGCGCCCCTGTCCGAGACATGCAGGAAAATATGTTTTCCTGCACCTTTCAACGTTTTCCTGCACCCCTCAACGTTTTCCTGCACCTCTCAAATATATGACGTCATTATGAATGACGTCACATCATTAAGTTGAAGAGCATCACTCTGCTCCTTATAACTTCATTTTATCTATCGTCCATTTTATTTGATTGGCTTATGATATACCTATCTAAATTGTGTTTGATGCAAGGATTTTATTATTTGTCATGAATAAAGTGAAGCATCACCATATAAAACTCAAACTTTGACGCTATTTCGCAACAAACCATAGCCATTAGCCACGAAAGACTCAACAAGGTTGAAATTGGGGCGTTTTGGTTTTCTCCATAACATTTGCACGGAATATATAGTCTACGACATGGAATGGACAGATCGCGATTTAACCACGTTAAACGTGCAACTCGAAAGTAAGCAAGGAGGCGCCCGTATGATCAACGCACACAGTGTTCTCGCGCTAGAAAATCAAATCTTTTTCGCAAAACCACGAACAAAACTCGACAACCTAAACAAAATTCGACATTCTTGTGCAGTAGTGATTCAAGGGTAGAATCGACGGTTTATTTAGTACTGGTAACGGCGATTTACCGTTAATCTTCTCATTCATTTGATTTCTTTTGTACTTTTTATTGTGATTCACAGTCTTCGAATATACAAGGAAAAAGCTGCAACCAGAGAAAGACGCAACCATGTGACACTGAGGGCTTTAAATGACTGGAATGCTCTTCCAGAAAGAGTGGCTACTGCTCCAACCCTTAGCGAATTTAAGAAAGAAATCGACCAGCTTTGGGCAACATCTCAGTTCAAGCAATGAATTAGCTTGCCTGATGCATCGTCAAAATCAGCCACAAAGTTGAACACATCCAAACGAAGGAATATCGTGGAGAGAAAGTAAAAGTGAAAGCAAGGAATGGAAGTCACAGGACCTTTGCAAGAGGCCTCTTTCCATGGATAGCTTTAACTTCAACTTCAACTTGATTAGGATTATGAATGAGTTTGCGGATTGGCGTTTTTATCGCGAATTTGTGAGCTTAAAAAGTGATGTGGCCCAGCGCGGCTCGCTGCGGCTACTGCCAAAAGGCGATATCAAAATCGCAACTGTCTAGACACCGGAGAAGGCCAAGATTACTTTACCGAGAAGTCTGCATCCGTGGCTGCCTACGACCCAGCCCGGCCGGCACCGCAAAAGCGAAGGACAACCGGCTGATGGTATCCTTCGCCAGTGGAGCTGCTGCTTCTGGAGCTGCTGCTTCTTCTGCCCCAGTTATAGCCAGAGACGCCAGCCCCCTGGACCAGCCACTGGCTGCTGTCGCCTACATGGAAGTAACCACGACACCGACAGGGGCCGGTAAGTTGTTCATTGAAATGATCGTGCAGTTTGGCAGATAGATGCTCACGCTAAATTGCGTTGTACGGGAATCGCTGCTCCGTGAAGCGGTTTTTTTTTCGTTTAGCTGGAATTGATTTTGTTACAAGAGGTGAAGAAAAACGGACAGCGTTGTCGAAGTGCTGTTTATTGTTTCTGAACTTAATAGCGGGTTTAATATGGAGCTCGGCCCAGGTGGAAATTGGTACATGGCACTCGCTACTCGTTACCCATCATGCAGACACGTGCTTTGCCTTTGTCAGGTTCGGTGCTGGCACACCAGCTTGCCCCGACACTGGCGAGTGACGGTGGTTTTCCTGTCGCCCCTGATGCCGGCGAGGGGCCAGCCAGACCCGTCGATGCGGCGACCGCGGTACCAGCTGACGCTGTCGAGCAAGAGCGCGCACATTTCACTGGTAGGTGAAAGACAGGGCCGAAGCATGCCCTGCATTTTGAAAGCCGTTAGATTCGGAACCACGAATGGCAGCTCCTTCAACAGCTCCATATCTGGAGCCATTTTCCGCACTGCTGGCGGAGCTTCTCGATCTCTGAAGCTTTACGGTACAGCATAACTTCAGACGCTCGCTCTTCCTGCCATCTAGCGGAAGAAAAATGTCGCGGGCCGCGGCAGTAGAATCGCCATTCCGTTCCTCTCTGTTGACTATCATGTCAGCACAACATTCGTCGGTGTTTTTTTTTTTCAACCACTTATTCTAAGCAGTAACCGACGGCACACTCTGGAGGACTGATTGGTGTTTCGGTTCTCCCTCCAGAGTCCAGGTACTGCATCGCAGTGTCGCCACCATGCACAGAGGACGCCAGAGGACAGCCCGTCAGTCTTCACGGCCAGCGCGCTGGGCCGGCACGGGTCACACGCTCGGTGAAGTAGCTGGCCTGCGCACACAGCTCGACATCATCTGTGGTGTCATCCCAGCCTTTCTTCAGATCATTTACTCGCCGCTTCAGCCACGCCGCCGCCGGCCGCAGTCATCCGGCCACGGAGGAGATAAGTGATAGGCCGACCACACCACAAGAACAGTGCTCTCCGTGTAAATATCACGACCGGAAGTGCGCGAGCTACTGACTGGGAGACGGCGCTCGCGCTGACGCTGTTTCCTCGACGTTTATGCAGCTCCTGGCGAGGTGACCGGTCTTGCTGCAGGTCTAATAACGCCGTGCCCGGTCCGCCGTGGACCGTGGCGACCCGCTGGTCTGACCGACCCGCCGGTGTCTTGGCGTCTCACACCCGCTGCTGCCGAGAACACGTTCGTCACTCAACACTGCCCGCGCCAGGATGCTGGCCAGATCCATGCCTTCTGCGCGCGTGTCGGCCCGAATTGTGCTGCTAACGGCGTCTGGTAGCCCGGCGATGAAAGCACTGGTGATGAAAGCACCTACCCGAATGCAAGCCGAATGCAGCAAAAGATGCTCCTCCAACTGTGGAAACCGAGCGTCGTGCGCGCTCCAAATTTTATTACAACCAATTTTTGCAGGCTTTTGACTTTGAAAATTTCACCGGCGCAGTTCGCACAGTTTCGGAGCAATAACCCGCCAACAGAGACAGACTCACATACATCCATACATGGTTTTTGAGTTTTATCATAGTAATTTAATTTATAAGAGTGAAAAGAAATAAATTCATGCTCATTAATATCGAAATTAAAAATGTTAATCCAGAATATATTTTTGTGAATGTCACTTCGTCGGTGGATTAATATGCAGAATTGATGGGAAAGCTAAGCAGTGTTTCGTATCCTCCGTGTCGTGAATGTCACCGACCGAAGTGACATTCACGAAAATGTATTTTTGATTAACAATTTTAATTTCGATATTAATGAGCATGAGGTTATTTCTTTTCACTGATACAACGTTAACTATGCTCAAAGGAACGCTTAACTTTATTAAACAAAAGTATTTAATTTGATATAACTCATCTCGTTCATCAGCACGGAAGTGCCAAAGCCACAGCAGAACACCTAAAATTGTCAGATAGCCAAAAACTCAGCAGTTACAGGAAAAATTCGTTTTGTCCATTCCATGTCGTAGACTATATATTCCGTGACATTTGCAACGCTCCATATAATGTTAGGCATGTATGGGAAATAGCTTCCTGCCCTGAGCTGGGAGAATTTAATGGTGTCACCGGTGTCACCTCGTATTATCGAAAGTACCTCGGGCCTACCGGCCCTCGGTACTTTCAATTAAAAATCTCGGTGACACCATTAAATTTTCCCAGCCCCGGGCATGAATGTATTTACTGAACTTGCTCTGGGAAGAAAAATGGAAACCTCGGTATGCCTCGGTCTTCAAAAAATCTCCGGCACTCGGCTACGCCTCGTGCCTACAATTTTTTAAAGACCTCGGTTTCCATTTTTCTTTCCCAGAGCCGTTCAGTAATATATATTACCAACTACCATGACTTTCAAATTGTTTCATATTGGTTGCGCAAATCAAATCGCTTAGATTGCGCAGTATCGTTCTCAAAAGCTGTTGACTGAATAGAAGTATCGACCATGTGTTTAGTCTATCGGTCGATTGGCGTCGGCTAGCCGAGCTATAATCGTTCACGAATTGTCAGTTGACTCTCCCCCTGTGTAAAAAAAAATACCCGTCTCGATCCGCCCACACTTACTAGCTGTGTATGGTGATCAGGTCAGCCCGGGGGTGTAGCTTGCGACAGGCAGCGCGTGCGTCCGACCAGGTGACATTTCCGGAGCCGGCCGTGTACAAACTATTTTCGTACTGAACCCAGTCAGTCGAGTGAGCTCCTATCAACACGATAGAACATAGGGTACGGTCAGCCACCGGCACCAGCCGTTTTCACGACTGACCATCTGGCGAATGCACCTAATTTGACCAAATCTGCATCAAATCTCTTTTACAAGAAATATCTGCATATCATGAGTTTACTTCTGTGGTCTTATTGAAAATAAGGTCTGGTAATTTGAAAGAAAAAAAATCAGGTCATTGTGTTTCTTAAAAGTTGTTAGTATGGGTTACACAGATGGTTATAATCTGTGTAACCTATACTAACAACTTTAAAGAAACACAATGAACCTAATTTGACCTAATCTGCACCCAACCTGCACCAAATCTGCACCAAATGTGTACCAGATGGCCGTTGTGAAAACGCCTAATATCCATCGCATATTTCCCTATAGAGCAGCAGTTTTATCAGCAGAAATATCGCCGGCTGCGGTTATTATTTTTTTTTTTTGCTTCCAGTTTCGGCATGGCATCCCTGAATTCCACTACCCGCGCAAAAGAAATAGCCGCTGATGTTGAAAATGGTAGCTAAATCTATGCCATTATAGCTGAATGTTTTCATATCATCAGTTATTTTTCGGTGTGGTTTCCATTGTTTAGACTTAAAGGGACCCTCCCACCTTCAAAAAAGTTAATGAATTGGCATGAAAGTGATGTCGCTAGGTTCAGAAAGAGCAAAAACGAATATCTACCAAATTTCATCGAAAAATATTCACCGGTTTTCAAGATATTAGACTTTTACTTTTGTTTACTTTTTGGAATCTCCGCTGTTCCTAGCGACTTTATTTGAAAGTGCGGCATTTGTTGCGCGCTTAGCAGCATATACCACCGCGTGCTACAAAACGTTTTAGTCAAACATTTAAAAATCGTTAGGTCTCCGCTGACGTCACAAATTCTAAGGGGGCATACCAATGCACTAGCCCCTTAGAATCCGAAAACTGCAAGTTTGAAATTCCATATCTCCGAATTAAAGCATTTGTCGATGTTGTGAGTGCCCAAACCGGTATTTGCAGGCCATGGCCACCAATTTGGCTATCTCAACTCAAAACTAATGTTAAGGTGGGAGTGTCCCTTTAAGAACTGAAAATACCGGCAGCCGGTGATTTTACTGTCAGTAAAAACTGGCCTCTTGTCTGCAAAAGTGCGTTCAGACTAGTAGTGTTCACATAGTTAATAATACAACGGCTACCTAACTATTATAAAACCTTCTCAAACTACAAGCAAGAAGGCGCAAGTGCTTAGGAGTTTCCACTCGACGATGTAAAGCAAAGCCATCATTATGATATAGGCACTTGAGTTGTACTGCGTTGTTTAAAGTTTCATCTAGCAATAATCGATGCTAGGCTGGGTTCTGAATCATTTTTTACTTTCCTTTCCTTTCATCCGGTAGCTAATTGACTTACCAGAAATAAGAGCCAAAAATGCAGTAAAAAGCAATGAAGACTTCATCGTGACAGATCTCGATCCGTCCGGCAACCGGCCACTGTCTGAAAAGTACGATGTCCTTGCCCTGAGCTAGGCACTGTATCAGGTTAGTGCTATCATCTGCAGACAGATCTGTCCCATGGGAACTGGACAGGTGTTGGCACTGGCGGATCCACACGGAGGGGCATTTGGGGCAAGTGGCTACCTCACACTGCATGATATGGCTACCTCATACTGCAGCGCCCGAAATCGATGAAAATATGACGTTTTTTTTAGAATAGAAAACTTAAAAATTAACTTAACAAACTAAATGAGTGTTGGCTGAGTTACGTGCTATGTAGGTGCCCGTCGTAAGCCTGTTTACTGTTTCGGATACTGTTTTTTTTTTTAATGCATTTCTAGTTACAACAACGCGCAAAGTTGCAATGGATAATGATATGGCTACGTGTCTTTCCACTTCCAGATATATTTCTCAACAGACACATTGCACATTGCACACCACCGTAGCGACATCTTGAGGCAGATACAGCGCAATGCAGGTTTGAGGCCTGACTATAGAAGTCACCAGGCTGAGGTCCAGATCTAGATGTCGCTTCGCCCCCTACAACATGATGCTATAGCTCAACTGTCCTTCATCCAATCTGAAGAAGACTCATTGGGCATACATAGATGTCGCACTATGTCACATGTTCTCACAACCGAGATTATAAGATGGCCAAGAAAGGAGTTGGGAGACTTGCAAGAAAGGAGAAAGGATACTTGGACGTCGACATGCCATTCTCTTCACAAAGACGTTCCAAGTTTCAGTTTCGTTTGGCACTACGAGCATTGCGGACAGCAGCCGGGAAAGATAGCTGAGGCGTTCACGGTGCTACCGTTCGGGCAATCGATACTGCCACACCTGAAACGATCGAAAAAGTCAGCACCTTTGTAATGTTTGCTCACTTTTCATCACATATTCGTTAAATATGAAGACACAGTTTCTAATTCTTTTTCAATCTGATCAATCAGTTATTGTTATTTGAAAAATAATTAAAACATTATTATAATATTAACACATTGTAAAATATTCGTATGACTGTCAGGTATGTTTCTCTGACAGTCATACGAAATATTGCATTCAGTTATCAAAATGTGGTTAATTTTTATTTATTTGATCCCCAGTTATCTAACATTTCATGCACTGTGTTCACTGCGAGATACAAAGATATGTACAAAGACTGGAATACTCACGATTCAAACTGATAGTACAGCTTGCCGTCGCCCAGTCTGAAACAAGTATACTCTCCACACATGCTCTTCGGATAATCCTTTCCTCCTTCCTTCAAATACGGCTGGGACAGCGCGGAAATGTAGCATTCATTTTAGTGACCTGAGAAAGGGAAGAAGTAACGCTTTGACGGATGTAAAGTGATTTTATCTGTAAGAATTCACAGATTCAGATATCGTGGGCCGTGGCATTATATATGCCTGTCAGGTATCTCATTTAGAGACAAATATTTTTGGTGCTTGATGACCATTTACAAAGTCGGGGTATCGTATTACCTGGGTGAATTATGGCCTCTCCGAATCCAAGCGCCGCATGGCAGTACACAACAGACACAAGAAGAACTACCAACTGAACCACACGGGACATGGTTTGCCTGTTTTAGCTTTTTTCTCCAATCTCCAGTCTGCACGTTAAACGACAAACACTCGTATCTTAGTGTCAAGCTGTAAAAACATGTGTCTTTTATAGGACGTTGTCAGCAGAAGTCTGAAGTTCACGGGTGTCAAGAGTTTGACACGTGGCGTCGCGCTGACAAGCAGTGACGTAAATGAGACGAATGTTCTTGGGATGCCATGTGCGACAGTTTGCTAGTGTTGCGCTGTTTCTGAGAAAAATCCGGCCGTAGGTCAACGCCCCGCGACCCTGTGTCCGGCTTTATGTCACCCTCATTATTCCGGATTTCGTGTGGGGAGGGATGTCAGTCGATAGCCGATGGCTCGGTAACCGAAAATATGCTACCTCGGTAATAACTGAAGCTTCATCTATTCGTAAATAGCGCGATTTATGATAAGTACACAGTTCCAAAGTTCTCATGCGTCTACCTACGCTTTCTTCACCAAATGTCGGTCGATGTGTGCTGTATTTCTCATTCTTTCTTTTTGACAGAAGCCAAACATACTCTCCGTGCACATGAGAGGTAATGCTTGGACGGCGATCCTATCAGCTGTGGCTGGCCCCAAGGACACGACCTGACAGAGGCTCAATTGACCTCACACTGGTCACGGCCAAAGGAGAGTAGTAGCTCCTCGCCAGCCAGTACTGGGGGCGGAATGCTCGTCGAATGATGATTTAATAGAGTATTGAATTATTTTTTCAAATCAAATAAGGACGAAGTTTAACATCGTGGCTCCCAGCCAGAAGACTAACATTTGTGGCTCCTTCAAGGCTGGTTCTTAAATGGAGTACTGCAATTATTTATTTATTTATTTTGATAAAACAGGAACGAAATTTAGCACCGGCGGCTCCAGTCCAAGCCACTTATACCGGCAGGGTTTTGCTCTGTGGTTGACTGGTTTGCGATTCGGTGGGCGCTATTAAACAAGGAAGGTGGTAGATCGGAAACATTGCTTATCGATGTAGTATTCAGCTTTGCCTGAAAGATGCGACAATGGAGTGGGTCTGTCCACGGCAGAACTAGTGTTCTTTTCACCTTCCCCGTTCTGTGGACTTAGGAAAGTGGCTACAGTCGCAGTACATGATACAAAATGAATGCGATATTTTGGCGCTCAACAATGGGCGCCCAGCGGGAACTGACGACAATAAGACGAAATTGGCCCGACTTTTGTTGGTTAAATATTCAGCGCGGACAAATAAATCCGTTCATACTGGCTAGGACATTGAACATAATTAATTTGTACACTAAAAATTATCCAGAATTCACTCTTCACTATTCCTGCTTCGGTTCACTAGAAGAAAACCTTCACAGGATATATTACTTATATGTTATATAGGTATACTTTATTTAATTTTACTTACATCTGTCATTTATCTAATGTGCATTAGGCCATATTAAGTCAAAGTGTTTAACAGCTAATGCATTAAATGACACCATTATTATCGCAAACTGTGGAATTCATTGAATTAACTTTCAATAAGGTCCGATCTAACCGGTTGGTTCTCAGTCAAATGACAAGGAAAAAACTGTTGGTACGAGCGAAATAGGAAGCTTTTTGCAAATAAGACAAAATAATGGCTTATGGCAGACACATTTAAACTTAAGAAAAACATGAACGCCGTGCGGTGTGCAACTATGAGTGCAACTTTTGCCATAAACTAAACTAAGTAGTTAACCCGCGCCCCGTAGGGGGGGGGCCGAAACGGCCCCCCCCTGTCCTTTTCGGTCGATATCTCCTAAACGGCTGGAGATATCGCCACCAAACTTTCAGGACCCCTCCGGGCATCAATTTTACACATTGTGACCAAAAATTTTTCCAGAGGCTATGATAGGTTCGCCACAAATGACGTCAGAGTGACGTCATGTTCTGTCATTTTCGACCGAAAAAAGACCTTCGCGAGAAGACCTGTCAGGACTACAGCTTTGAAGATACAGAAAAATGATCAAGACATAAAAGGTGTAGAATTAACAGGGCTACAAAACTGTTATCTCGAATTTTTGAAATTTTTGAGTTTTGGCCCCCAAAAATCAAAAAAGCATTTTTTTATATATTCGCCAAAAAATCCAAAAAGTTTTTTGAGTTTCGAAAAAAACCGGAATATATGTGATAGTGCCTACCGGCTTCTATCTACATACCAAATTTCAGATCGATACCTCGTTTTTTGGCCAAGTTATAGCGAAAAAACTGTTCAAAAATGATGACGTCAAATTTCCAAACTCCATTTTTGGCAATTCTAGAACTCGTAGAGCAAAACGAAGACCACCATTAGACTCCCCGTGACGAGCTGCATCGAATCGATGCCCATTTTATGCAAAAATATCAACTTTGAAATTTGACCTAATTTGACCTGACCTTGACCTGACCTTCACCAAAACGTGACCTAGGCTGGCCCCAAAGGCTGCCTAACCCACATAATCGCATTTGTCATGTAAAATGGACCATAAAACATGTATCACACGACACATTCATATTGTGACCCCCGGTGACCTGACCTCGCTGTGACCTGACCTGGTATCAGTGACCTCAGATAGCAAAGTATGTGTTTGACGAACAATTTACCATCGATGGTTTTCAATAAATTACCAATTTACTCGCTTTCACAGCACATTTCTTGAATTGCCTGTGAACGGTGAAAATCTGACCTTTGACCTGACCTGTGACGTCATTGGTTTGACCTAGGTCAATGAAATTTGGTCACAAGGTAGTTCCCGGGTGGGGCTATCGAACGCCGTTTGAATTTTAAAAATCGGCCGGTAACTTTCCGAGATCTTAGGGGGGGCCGAAACGGCCCCCCCCCCCCTACGGGTGGTAGGGTCCGCCGGTAGCCCTACGGGGCGCGGGTTAATAGCAGGCGCGACTGTCATTAGGAAACACTTAAGCATGACCTTTATCAGAATGGAATGCAGCTGTATAATCATCCTTCTAAGCATTCTTAGATTCTTTCAATATAAAAAAGACTTGAGAATGGCATCTGTCCCTGTAGAAAGCATATATTCACCGCCGTAGAATGCAGTAACATTAACGCCCAACCGTAGCCCATCCTAATTGCTTCTTCTGTTTTCACACACCGATTCACCAATCGATTCTGTCCAATTTCGCCGAACGCCGCGGCACCCTAGTGTTTACGACCGAACGCCGGCCGGCCGACGGTTACTGGTTTTACGTTTTCCGCAGATTGTTCTGATGGGCGTCCGTTTTGTCTCCGAAATTGCCCAGGTAATGTCCGGACTCCGGTTCATATGTATATAAGGCTGGTCCGGGTCCAGAACGATAGTTGTCCAGTGCAGCTCTTCAATATCCTCACATCATGAACTTCTCTGTAAGTAGTCGAGTACGGACATTGTACACAGCGGATTGAACGTTTATAGGACAACAGTGCGGTTATTGGTGTTTTGCCCAGCTTGGCTCGGACCTACGTTCAAGGTCAAGCATGTCCTACCTTTAAGGTCAAGCCCTAAGCTCAAGACCAAAGGCCGAAATCTAAGGTCAATGCCTAAGATCAAGACCTAAGGTCAAGGTCTGAGATAAGGATTTTAGGTAAATTCCTAAAGTCAAGACTCAAGACCTATGGTCAATACCTAAGGTCAATATCTAAGGTCAAAACGTAAGGTCAAGCTGCTATGTTTTTTTTTTTGGGGGGGGGGGGCATTAAGGTCAATCCCAAAGGCTTTTGTGCCTAAGGCTAGGAAACGCTGCAAGTGAACATCTTGTACCGCGTGGCTTCCTGTGCCGTGTAGCAAGTGTCAATGTTTGTACCGTGTGGTGCTCTGTACCGTGTGACGTACCGTCCAGTGACGTACCACATCACATACCTGCACCATATAGTGAGGTACCGGATCCCGTGCCGTTTAGTAACGATTCATGTCCCTTTACCGTGTACCGACGGTCCCCGTGTCCCATTCGGTCAGCTCCGTACCGATGCGTGGTACTTTCAAGAGGGACCATACAGTGTCCCGTCTGGTATATACAGTGACGCCCCGTACCGTACACTGACACCCCCCGTGCCCCCTCCGGTCAGATCTACGCCCTGCTGGTGGTGCTGGTGATCGCCGTCTGTGTCGGCGTCAGCTCCGTCTCGGCCGACTACGGAGACGACGGGTACTACGGCGGGTACCGCGGATACCGTCGCAGCTACCGCCGCAGCTACTACCGCCGCAGGGGATAGACGCCGACCTCAGCTGGACTGATGTCGACCCACTCAGGCTGCCCACTGGACACTCCATGGCTGTCACCGACTCCCACACCACCGGGAGCGAACTCAGAGCGTGCTATATCGAACGATAAGGCATTTTTTGGTGCCGTGAAACGCTCGACCACCTGACCAAATAAACTGGAAAAACTATCACTGTGGTTTGTTAGCGTATGTAAGGTGCTACAGAATGGAAAACGGTGATAATTAGCCATTTGGAAAGAACTGCAGCTCGCGAGTCAACGCTCGCGGTCCCGGGGGGGGGGGGCGTTTTTGCCCCCCCCCCCCCGGTGAGTATTTTTTTTTTATTCAGGCCTCCCTCCAACGGGCACAGTTGTGGCCCAATTACAGGAGGGCTCCTCCTCTTCCTGGCCCTTGTTCCCCCACCCCCCAGGCTACGGCTGAAGTGGGAGCCTACCCCACACCTGGTGGCACAGCCGGGGACGACGCCCGCGGAACGGGCGGAACCGGGAATCGAACCCGAAACCCGGCACCGCCCGCACCGCGGGTCGACGCCTTTACCGACTGCGCCACCAGGGCCGCTAAATTTGCGATAGCTCCCGAACACTTAAGGATAGAAGCGCTAAACTTTCAGTACCTTTTCCCCCATCAATTTGACATCTTCTGAAGTAAAAAAAAAATTGGACATAACCTCCTTGATGACGTCACCGGGTCGATTTTTGCTAGACCACTGCACGGCAAATTTCGGTGTCACAGACGTGATTTTCAAATAGCAGCTAAAAATAGAGTATTAGAGATAAAGACAAATTACGAGCTTTTGCGTAGCTTTTAACCATGGGAAAAATACAAAATGATTTTGGTGACCTGAGGTCAAAGGTCAGGTTAATGACCCCGAGCTGAGATTTTACTTTTCCGCAAAAAGCTTCAACAAAAATGGCCATAGTGCTACAACAGTGGTACCAACGCATTCGTCTCGTCAGGCTACGTCGAATGACATATATTTTGGTTGGAAAAGGTCAAGGTTTATGTTGACCTCATGTGACCCCGAATGACCTTTCGTTGACCTTGACACATGAAAGGTCGTGTATGATGGACTCGTAGCTGCTGAACACGAATATCCATCCATTTTGTTCTAAACATTCATTTAGAGCCTCAGGATGGCAAAATTGTCTTCAATATTATCGCTGACTTGAATCAGTGGAATAGCCTCTAGCAAGGATACTCTTCGGTGACCTTGACTTTTGAGCAGCCTTGTATCGTAAGATGAGCCACAAATAGGGACCTGAATCTTGGAAGCTAGCACGCGAGATGTACGAAAAAGTGCAAAGTTTGAGGTCAATTCTAAGCATAACCTTGGCTCATTAACCATACATGTGTATCACATCATCGGAATTCTCAGATCCTTTTCTTCCGCTTCACACCCATTTTAGCCGGTTTTGTGCATCCCACCGTCCTCTGGAGCACTTACTTTGAGGTCACTACACATGTGCCGGATTTTTTCCCTTCGACCTTGACCTCTGACCTTGAAAGTTGACCTGAGGTCAACATTTTTAGGTGCTTTAAAATCGTCTCGTAACAACTGTTCGTTTGGTATCGCTGTTGTTTCCGTAGCGCCTTTATTTACGTAGCTAGACGGGGGGGGGGGGGGCGAAAAACGCCCACCCTCGGGCTGCGGTGGTTGGGATTACCCCCGGCCCCGGCCGGGTTAAACAGGTCTGAAAATAAAATGGCCTTGGCGATCTTGGCGCCTTGGCGAGAGTGAATGTAAAAATATATTTCATATAATACTTATCTGTTCAACAACTTTGATATTTCAGTTGACTGTTCCAAAGATTATGTGTGATCGTACTTGACACATATTAGCCCTCACCGCATAAGGGAGGTGGGACTTTTTAAGAAGTACATAGATATCTCGCTGATTCAATATTTGTTTCGTAAATAGCTCGTATAAAGTTATCGTTAATCGTTATGCACATATTGTATCTTGCGTAGGAATTTCAAGAACCGGAGAACGCATCTTACTGAAAGATGGCGTAGTCTCATATTCATGTTCCTGACATGCAAGTGTAAGAGTATTAGTTTTCTGCGGGCCATTTCACCAATAATTAATGGCGTCGTATGTAAGTCTTATTCCTTGTTATGCTAATAATTTTGATTTTTTATCAGCTGACTGGTGTTGCTTATCTTGTATTTTGAATGCTTCACTTCAGACGGACTATTTCCCACGAGAATCCGATCTTTGGGTAAATCGGAGCGCTTTAGCCGTTTAGCGTATTTTGGAAACAATTTACGTACTACTGCCGCATATGCTGACATAAACATCATGTGTTCTCCAATTGGGACGTTACGGGTTCTTGTGGGTTGTTGAAAAATTCACCAGCCCGGTAATGAGGGTAAATCGTATCAAACGAATGTCGTATCATGTCGTAAATGACGTATCAAACCAACGACCAATATTTTCGAGGATAAGTGCAGCTTAAAACTGAAGAAAAGGTAGTGGTATTCAAGATTACTTTACTATTTAATAGTGGTATTCATCGATTCAAAATAAGACTTAAGCCCCATCGTTTGTCAATCTTGAAGGATATGTAATGGCTAGTACTGACAAATGTTGACTTTATCTCTCGAATAATGTTACTAAGATCATCCTACGTCTCGAAGAAGTAGGTAAATAGCTGCGCTTTACGCGACACCATCAAACATCTGCAATCTGCATCTCCGCTCAGTGGCATACACAAATGCTGCAAATTCCGGTTAAAATATATTCATATAAATATACAGCTCAGGCTCAAACACTGCTGAAACTCCGTGCCGTGTTAACTCTGAGACCCGTGGCGGAAAGGTATTGCACGCCGTTGCCATGTTTCCAGTCACACACTGGGTGCTGTCGTATTATTGCACGCTGGTCGCTGGTGACAATTGAATGCCAGGGTCTCTTCCCAGAGTTTCATGTGCTCGGAGCCATCTCAGTGTAGACTGTATAACAATCCCGTCGATACGGGTCCTCATCCGTAATACGGCCGCTTATCCGTAGTAGCGTCCCCGGCGATAGTAGCTCCTCCGGTATCCCCGTCCGTAGTACCTCCCGTATCCGTATCCGCCGTAGTATCCGTCGTCTCCGTAGTCGGCCGAGACGGAGCTGACGCCGACACAGACGGCGATCACCAGCACCACCAGCAGGGCGTAGATCTGACCGCGGAGGGGGACACAGGGGTGTCAGTATACGGTACGGGGCGTCACTGTATACCAAACGGGACACGGTACGGTCCCTCTAGAAAGTACCGCGCATCGGTGCGGAGCTGACCGGGGAGGAGCAAGGGGGAGGGGGGGGGGGGCAGTGTACGGCAAAGGGACACGGAGCATGCTCCGTCGGAGCATCAATATACATATGGTAAAGAGACATAGCCCGTCAGGCCGTCACATAGGATATTGTGCATCAATAAGCGCTAAGGTATATGTACCTACACCATTGGGACCACTATTATAAGCGCAAAGTCTGTGAGGGGTCTTCCCCCTAAAAAATATTGAACAGAGTTATATGAGATGCTTGACAGACCTCTTAGCCCTCAGGGATATTGGACAAAACCGCTCGGGGCTCGGAAGACCTGAGCTCTCATCTAAGCAATGGATAGACCTCTTATTTCTACACTGAACAGACGTCTCAGAGACACAGGACAAATCGCCCAGATGGGCGCCGATCACGGTCACTAATACTAACACTCACCGAGAAATTCATGATGCTTCAACTGCAGTAGCTCTGAAACAATTAACTGCTCACTCGACCATCTATCTACGTTATATACCGACACAAACGCATTGCGATGATTTTCCTAACAGAAAATATACGCAAATAGTCGAGAACTGACAAGGAAAAGGCGAGGAATGCCCGCCTGGAAGCTGTACTAAGATGCGGAGAAGGTGCTACGCCGTTGGATTTGACGATACTCTTCGGCCGTGTTTTCCTTGCAGATAATTGCGAAACATGCAATGTCACAAAATTTCAACAACTCGCTGCGTTCATTGCGGTAAAATCCACGCATAAGACCGGTTCGATGCTTCATTGTTTCAACAACCAAATTAGGAAGACGGTTAAATATTACGTGCGCGTACTTTACTAAAAAGACAGATGTTTTTAGCGTTGGGAATATACCACACAGTCCCGACGATAGCAGCGCCAATGGAATGATAAAGCTTGTTGAAATATATTGCAACAGCGTTATACAATCGCGCATGAAACTTTGGGAGCGTACGCCACAAGGCATGCAAAGCAGACATAAACTCAATTCATAATACATCTACTGTGGAACACACTTCTTGGTAATAACTACAAGTTCGAGCATAAACATGCTATTGTTCAACAGACCACGTACAACGGGTCTTGCAGGGAAAGACCCACCATTACAGAAAGAAATCTTTGTGCGTCGGTCCTGACAGCCTCTCATCACGCAATCACGCAATCGTCGCGTCTCTCTCTCTCTCTCTCTCTCTCTCTCTCTCTCTCTCTCTCTCTCTCTCTCTCTCTCTCTCTCTCTCTCTCTCTCTCTCTCTCTCTCTCTCTCTCTCTCTCTCTCCCCCTTTCTTTTTCGCATAGACGAAGCAATAGCAAATTCGATACCCGCGAAACTATTTAGCTATCGAAGGAATACCCACAAAATCACAACGTTTGTGCGAGGGTAAGGCGCTTAAACAAAATAAATGTTGATTCGTCTCCCCCTTCCATTTTCTCTTCAGCTGATCTAGTACCATGAAGTTCTCATCATTATCAGATGAGAGTTTATATAGATAATACGATAATTTATATAGATAATACGATGACGTTCAGTTTTTGCATAGAGCATCACCAAAGCACATGCCAAAACTCAAATCAGATGTAGAGAGCACTTTAGAGATCGCGAGTCACTGGTTTGTTCAAAACTGTTTGAAAATCAATCCCACCAAAACAGGTCTTGTTGTTGTAAAGTCACAAAGGCGCCGACTCGACACAGAATTTACTGTTAAGTTTGGTAGTGCGACGATTCGTCCATCCGTAGCGACCAAGATTCTCGGTGTGGTAGTCGACTCCGGACTGACTTTTGAATCGCATGTGACCGCGGTTATCCGCCGATGCTATGCCACACTAGGGGGACTGTCCAGATCCGCTCGCGGCCTGCCGCGAAACGTGAAGCAGATGATCGTGGAGATGTTAATTTTTCCCCACATCCGATACTGTATGTCTGTGTGGTCGGGATGTGGCGTCGTGCAGCGACACCGTATTCAGAAGGTGATAAACCACTGTGCACAGGTCGTCATGGGAGTCCGACGTTCGGCTCATGTGACGCCTCTGTTGGCAGAGCTATGCTGGCCCCATATAGACAGGCTGGTGGCGGAGAATGACTGCAGTACTGTGCATTACTTGTTGAATAATGTTCACGCACCGAAGTGCCTCTCTGAGCGGTTTGTACAACGCAGCGACGTGTCGAGCAGACAGACTCGAGCCACTGAGAATATGCAGCTCGAACTGCCGAGGGTCCGCACCGAACATGCTCGCAAGTTCTTTTATTACCGCGCCTGTGACGTTTGGAACTCGCTGCCAGCAGACATTCGGTCGTCACGCACGTCGGCCACTTGTCGCAGGCGTTGTCGAAAATTACTCAATGGTGACTAGTCACTGTGCGCGTAGTTTTCGGTCATTTGTACCGATATGCATTTTACTTTTTAAGTCCCATGCTTTTCATGGTTTTTACTTTTAGCTTTAGTGTTTATTTTAGCTTTATATATGTGCCTACCTATTTACTGTATGACACTTGGACTGAAAAGCCGTGAGTGCATGGAGTTTCCAAACGAAATAAATGATGATGATGATGATACGAGTATGTGAATATGCGATGCAGTCAGCTGGACGTAAAGTAAGAATAGTGGTTTTATGGGGCGAGCATCCACCCCACCCTCGGTAAATGAGCTAATTGCCACTAAGTGACGACTTGAAACAAAGCTGCGCACACGAGTGTGATGTCATATCATTGTTTACCTACAAATGACATCACTAAAATCCTACCTGCACGACGTACAAGTTAATCATAAAACCTACGCACTTAGAAGCTACGATGAATCAGCCATGCCATGCTTTTACGTGTAGGACGATGTTTACTGTTGACGTACTTTCGGTTTTCCTCTTCGCGGTAATGTTATGCCGACGGACTTTCTTAGCGGATAACCAATTAGGGCGTAGCAGGAAAGAAGGTATAAAACGATGTTAGTACTGAGTCGCTCGCTATTATACTGCGAGCAGTCACCAACTAAACACGATGGAGTATTCGGTAAGTTTCGGCTAGTAACACGCGAAACAATAAGCAATTATATTCGGAGCCGACTGTTAACGAGCAGCAATTATCTTTTTGTGTCATGGGTTGAATGTTGCCGATTTGCTTTTGATAAAAAATTGTTCAACTCAATCCATTGTTTGTTGCTTCCGCAAGGTAAGGTAAATTGGGGAACGTTCCTTGGCGTACACAAAAAAATGTTATCATATTGTAACTGTGATTGCTGATTCATGATTGTGATACAAATCGCCTCCGTGCCTTTTGCTGTGAAATTAAATTGGCAAATTAATAGTTGAAATGTTCGATATACCTTACCGTTGCTTGCCTATGGCGTTAATTCAAAGGCTGCATGCTATAGACCCGACCCCAGATCTTTGATCTCTAGCTCCCCAGTTCTGTGATATACGGTGTCTTCGTCCCCAGAGCTGATCTCCGATCTTCAACTCCAAATATCTCTGATCTCCATACTCCAACTCTCCAGATCTCTGATCTCCGATCTCTGGCTCTCCAGATTTTTTGTCTATGATCACTTGTTCCCTAGATGTCTAATCTTTGATCTACAACTCGCCAGATCTCGTATCGCTGATCTTTAATCGTTTCCTCCCCAGATCTCTACGATGCTGATGGCGGTGCTGGTCGCCATCTTTGTGGGCGTAACTTCCGCTTACGACTACGGTTACGACGACGGCTATAGTTACGACGACTGGTACGCTGCTCCTGCCAAGCACTGAGCCTGACCCCGTCCATGGGAGGAGGGAGGCACAAACAAGATAGGCTTTGCTGGCGGCGGAGGGAGGCAGCGGCTCTTGATAGACGACTGAGATGCCGGAAGACACCATCCAACGTATAAATATACAGACTACGCGGCTGAGCGGATGCACCGAACATACAAATATACTTTGCACCATACAGAGGGACGATGTAATAATCTATAGCACGAGCGACGTTTATCAATATATGTAGCAGTTAACAGGTGCTGTCGTTTTAAGACACCGTGGTGGAAGTTCTACCAACGAGCTATATAATCTACTCTACCCGCTCTGAGCTATTGTGCTCGCCTAAACATAACGCAGCAAGACAATGCTGGGCCAAGTCATAGCATTCCATTGATCGGTAAGCGCAATTTTTCAGCTTGCCGTATCAACTGATGTATCAATCGTATCTATGTAATCGATGTAGATGAGATAAACCTTACAAAAGATGGTTACCATTTACTTGAATGATTACCATATCATCAATAGTCTTTGAAAATAAACTGTTTCTATAAATCGACTACCTCTTTTTTGACATCATCCGACTGCAAAAGAAATAGCTGGCCTGACACGGGAGCAAATGTGTCATCTTGGATTTTATTTCAAAAGATTCAAAGACAGGTGAATTGCGGGACATTCGCGGAAAATGTTAATGGTGCTTCCTCATGTCTCTCTGGCGTCATCTTTATCCATATACTCAGATCAGACTCACGAGTCATCAGATCATGATAAAAAATACGTGTAACTTCTCATTTACGAACCCTGTAACGTGCATTAACCCGCGCCCGGCTGGGGTCCTGGATTTCCACGCCCTGCTGGGGGGGGGGGGGGTGTTTGAACACCCCCCCTTGTAACTCGGCTCCTGGGCCACGTAGCGATACGCGGAAGGCGGCGTTCGAAAGAGCGTCAAAAATAATGACGAAATCACTTCGGTCAATTTTCGGTCAATTTTGTTTAAACTTTAAATTGATCAATAGTAAGGAAATTGTTTCATAAATCGAAATATCATGTCAAAATATGATAAAGCAGATCAACAGACGTTCATATACAACAAATGGATTTTAAAAAAGAATTATTTACAAAATAGTTTTTCCGGGAACAACATGGAAAGGGATAAAACTTATTCCTCTCCTAGTGAAATTAGTATTCCACAATCCACATATATGTACCAGTATAGCGCCTTTTGGGGCGACTAACGGAGCGAGCGAGGGGGTGAGTCTTGCACGTGCGAAATTTCGAGGGGGTACCTCCAACTGACTTGTGCACGGCACCCTACTGACCGGTTTCTAGCGATGTGCCAAATTTGAGCACAATCGGCCCAGCCGTTCTCGAGATCTGGGAGCGGCACCATGCAGGTGCGCACGTGCAAAATGGGTCCCAACTGACTTTTGCACGGCACCCTACTAACTGGTCCCTAACCGTGTACCAAATTTGAGCGCCATCGGTCCAGCCGTTCTCGAGATCTGGAAACGACCCCTGCACGTGCGCGCGTGCAGCAGCACCCCAACTCTGGCACATGGATATACAGTGCCTAGTGGGTGCCTACCTACATGCCAACTTTCAGCGCAATCGTCCAAGTAGTTACCGAGATATTGCAACAATTACAAAACTGACACCTCTTCGTTTTGCGCGTGGCACGTGCATAAGGGGTCACCCACATGCATCGGGAATAGTCCAATACTTGGTAGAAGGAATGAAGCTACCCTACAAAAATTACCCCGTGTAAATCGGTCAAGTGGTTGCTGAGAT